CGGCGTTTAAATACATAGGGATAGTTTGGGTCGCTGGGCTGTAAATTTATATGGGGCAGTAAAATTCATTTCCCTTGTGAATCAAATGTCCATTAACTAACCCTTTATATGTTTATATTTTTATTGCACCATCCAAACAATTATATTGTAGTTCTTTAACTATTAGGCGAGACCATTAACTAACCCTTCATATATATATATATTTAGGTTGCGGACTAACATAGCAATTGCTCCGACTTCTAGTATCAAGTCATTAGGTGCAACTCTCCTACTCCTACATTCTCCTGTGGATATTCAGATACGACAGTAGATATCAACGGCATAGTAAACATTTTCTTTTACGGACAACATATTAACCATATCTTTATTAACTATCTTACAGTGCTTATTTTTTGAACCCGAAATTAATCGATCCTTGAAGTGGTTTTGATTAATTACTTAGAATCGGTAGTTAACTACAAATATTCAGTACAAAAATCTTACCTTATTTTTTGAGTCCGGCGAGAGTTCTCTAACCCGCAAGAGAAAACTGAAATAATCAGATTCTCTGAAACGCATATATATGGAGTTTAAAATACTTTACCCTTCTCTCAGTCCGTCTGCCAGGACTTCTTTTTTAAGTTTTCCAGCTTTTTAAAAATATACAAAATTGAAAATAAATTTACACTATACAGAGACAGAAGCAACATTTGTGTTTTGCAGATCTACCGCTGTATCGCTATCTAATTCGCACGAACGTAGCAATGCATTGCTCGATATGAAACAAAAACAGGGACGAAAGCGAAGAACGCATCGAGGTACTTAAGCGAACATAATTAGTGATGTAGTTACATCTTTTTGTTAACTTACATAAATATTTAAATCCTTGAATAAAACATGAACATTTAATGAAGTATACGGAGTTTAAAACCAAGACCGTAGCATTATTTAAGATTTTTCAATGAAAATACAGTTCATTCCCTAACAAATACCATATAAAACTAAGCTTAAGATATTATACAACCCTTAAAGAAAAAAATTCACCCAAAAATTTAATTTTTTTTCTCTGAAGTGTTTTTTGATAGTGCAGTTTTATAGCCCATTAAATTTTAGTGTAACAATGTGCTAGTTTCAAGTGGCTAAAAGTTCCTTGCACTTAATTTACATACAACTTTCTTTTCTAGCGTTTGCTTCACAGCGCAACTGCTCAAGTGGTGTAAGTGGCTTGCGAGCAAATGAGCTCTTGCGTTTATTCACAAGCCTTTCAGATTCATAATTGTAAGCGAAACGAAGCCAGTGAGCAATATGAGTTGGAGCTCGTAAGCCAAACACTTGTGAATAGTTGCTCAACACAAGCTCACTAGCTCACAAGCCGGCGCTCTCTTCTTCATAACAATAAGTGAGCGCCATCCACACTTGCTTACTCTCCGTGATTATTTCGCTTGCTTCACACTTAGTTTCTCGCAAGCAGCTCAACGTTGTGTTTTAATCATTCAGTACAGGACTCTGATTTGTACAGCAAGATTCTCCTTTAAGGCGACAAACCTCTAGAAATGGGCGTGGCAATTGTAGGACTAAAGCTAGCAAAATGCTGATTTTATTGCGGATTTCGGCAGAATATCACTTCGTTAACAATATTTGTTCCACTACTTTTTTAATCCATATAGATATTCTGGCGAAATCCACAATAAAGTCTAAATTTTTGAATTTTGGTTTTACTATAACCAAGCCCATTTCCAGAGTATTCTTTGATTGAAAAAGTTGTGGAACAAATGTTATTAACGAAGTGATATTCTGCCGAAATCCGCAAGAAAATCTGCGTTTTGCTAACTTTAGTCCTCCACGCCCATTTCTAGGGGGTTGTCGCCTTAAACAAAAATCTTGCTGTACAAATATTATACCTGAATAGGTATTCTATCGAAATTTGCAATAAAATTTCAATTCTTGCAAAAAACCCGATGTGTAGCACCTTACTAAATATATTATGTTGAGATATACATAAGTTTTCGAAAACAAATTAAAAAAAAAATTGTTGATTCTCACGAAATAAACCACCTCGTCATAGAGAAAAATAATTAATTATACTTGTTAGCCATTACAAAAGACTGAAACCTATAAAATATAATAATCTATTTCACGACTATATTCCTGGACCTTTTTACACAAGTTTTTTTTTTAATTTTACCCCAAAAATGTAAATACTTTTATTTCTAGGAATTCCCAATGTATTTTTAAGTTAAGTTTTTAATTACATTAATTTCATTTGAAAAAAAAAAAATACTAACTTTGAGGTTTATTATTTTTCGTCTATATTTGAGCGCCATTAAAAATTGTTTTTTTTTTATAATAAAGGAAACTAGTAATAATCCCCGAAATTGGGCATGCTCCGTGGTCTAAAAAATCTGCATATTTCTTTATTCTAAAAACCACATGCACTGGTATTTAACTTTAACTTTGGTATTTTGGCAAGATCATGCTCTACTCAGTACGTATACATAGCTGGCCATGCGTAAAGCAATCCCCTTGTTGGGGTCTGACCTTACATATTTATTGTTACTGCGAACGCTGCAATAATTTTGAATTGGCGGCGTTTAAATACATAGGGATAGTTTGGGTCGCTGGGCTGTAAATTTATATCGGGCAGTAAAATTCATTTCCCTTGTGAATCAAATGTCCATTAACTAACCCTTTATATGTACATATTTGTATTGCGCCATCCAAACTGAAATAATCAGATTCTCTGAAACGCATATATATGGAGAGTTTAATATACTTTACCCTTCTCTCAGTCCGTCTGCCAGGACTTCTTTTTTAAGTTTTCCAGCTTTTTAAAAATATACAAAATTGAAAATAAATTTACACTATACAGAGACAGAAGTAACATTTTTGTTTTGCAGATCTACCGCTGTATCGCTACCTAATTCGCACGAACGTAGCAAAGCATTGCTCGATATGAAACAAAAACAGGGACGAAAGCGAATAAATGGAACAATGTACTTTTCATGCTCTTATGTCCCGCTGAGACGCTGCCTATCGAAATGAACGTAGCAATGCTTTGCTCAATGTAAAAATTGTGAAAGCGTTCAACGCAAATATTTAGTGGTTCAATGAATCTTAAATGTGAAAAGTTTGTGCAAAGTTTCAGATCGAGCTCTTTAATTTGATGTATAATAGTAGATCGCTGGGAATAAGCGCCTTGTTTTAGAATAATATTTATGTAGATAAATAAAAATGAGCGAAAAAAAAATCTTTATTTCATCACATGTGGTCATTGTTGTTTAGCCACAAAATCCTTGTTATAAAATATAATAGAAGTTTTTTTTACTCTGTACTTACAATATTTCAGTCAATAAAAATCAGGAAAAATATTTTTCATTATTTCTGCTGCTTGAAAAAGTACCTACTGACCGTTACTGTAAATTTTCTTACTAAATGAGCGAGAGGTAATTTAAGAAATTTTGATAGAAAAAAATTTCTTTTTAATTTCTTGAACGTCATTTTATTTGAATTTTTCGTTTTTGTTAATGGCCTTATTCTTAAAAAATAAAGTAGGTTTAAAGCATGGTAGAAAAAAGAAGGTAGTTTCCATTAATGACATTAGCAGCCATGTTAGCCATTTGACTTTTGCTGGGATTTTGTAATTTTCATCAAAATCTAGCTACCAGATTGAAAATTATAATATAGTTTTTTTCTGAAATAAACTAAACATAGCAAAAAACAAAATAATTTTGTAAAATAATAAAAAGAAAAATGAGTTGCGCATTTGGAAGCTGCAAAAATACAAAATACCACTTCCACACGGTACACATGTTTTTAAATTTCCAGCGCTTCTTTTTGTGAATTCGATATTTAAATCTGAAGTTAAAAGATAACAAAACTAATATGAAAATAAGATCAGAAAAGTTACATCTTGATGGGTTTGTTGTATTTATTAATTAAAATCTTTTAATAATGTTAACGCAACATACATACACATAGATTAATTTCCAGTTTGGGGTTGGGGTGAGAAATACCATTAGCGTCAGTAGGATGCTATTATCCCTTGTATTTCGAAATTGCATTCTTTTTATGTACATATTTTCAATACATATGCATATCATGTGCTAGACTTGTTTAGTTTCGTCTAAGAATACTAAAATATTTACACTTAATAACTATGGAAAAAATCCCCATCTTGAAATTTGCTAATTTATTTTTAGATATTCACGAATTTTCAACAAATTATGAAGCTTCAAAACCCCCAGTATCCATCAAAATGTTGTATACTGAAACTACCTTCATTAACATGGCTTAAACAGCTTTATGGATTAATGTTTTCAATTTTTAAACCTTTTTAAAGCTACTTTATTTTGTATGAATATGGCTATAAGTTTTAGGTAAAAATAGTTATTCATAGAATAGTAAATATATTACGATTACTTTTTATACCGATGCTGAGTTTGTCACTAGTACCTGACTTTACATTTGTGCTGTCCACTTAGGTCAAAGAGTTTAAATTTGAACAACATAATTCATTTGTATTAAAAATGTTTCAGAATTATACCTAGGGCTTTATAATCAAACAATTTTTAAACTCTTATTTGCTAAAATAAAGTTCCTTGCACTTAATTTCCATACAACTTTCTTTTCTAGCGTTTGTTTCACAGCGCAACTGCTCAAATGGCGTACGTGGCTTGCGAGCAAATGAGCTTTTGCGTTTATTCACAAGCCTTTCAGATTCATAATTGTAAGCGAAACGAAGCCAGTGAGCAATATGAGTTAGAGCTCATAAGCCAAACACTTGTGAATACTTGCTCAACACAAGCTCACTAGCTCACAAGCCGGCGCTCTCTTCTTCATTACAACAATAAGTGAGCGCCATCCACACTTGCTTACTCTCCGTGATTATTTCGCTTGCTTCACACTTAGTTTCTTGCAAGCAGCTCAACGTCGTGTTTTATTCATTCAGTGCAGGACTCTGACTTGACTTGTACAGCAAGATTCTTCTTTAAGGCGTAGTATCAAGTCATGAGGTGCACCTCTCCTACTCCTACATTCTCCTGTGGATATTCAGATACGACAGTAGATATCAACGCCATAGTAAACATTTTCTTTTACGGACAACATATTAACCATATCTTTATTAACTATCGTACAGTGCTTATTTTTTGAACCCGAAATTAATCGATCCTTCAAGTGGTTTTGATTAATTACTTGGAATCGGTAGTTAACTACAAATATTCAGTACAAAAATCTTATCTTAATTTTTGAGTCCGGCGAGAGTTCTTTAACCCGCAAGAGAAAACTGAAATAATCAGATTCTCTGAAACGCACATATATGGAGAGTTTAAAATGCTTTACCCTTCTCTCAGTCCGTCTTTACCCTTCTCGTCAGTCGTCTCAGACGGGCTTCCCGGAACCCGAACGGTTTCTGTCGGGGTGGTTTCGGTGGATGTTAAGAGTAGACTGCGCCGTGGCAGATCGATGGTGCGGATGAATCGTACCGCACGTGATGTGGTTGGTTGAACAGTGGTTGGTATTGAGGATGAGGGCAGCGTAGACGGCCCCATGGTTGGAGTTCGAATGCTCCGGTCCCTATGGTGCAATTGCTGTTGGTACATTTTCAACAGGTTCCTCGCATGCATGTCCACTTGGGTTAAGAGGGTCACTAGAGTTGGGTCCCCTGTGGTCTTTGGTGTATTGGGTTCGGTCTCGGATACCGGAGTTGCATTAACCCCCTGCTTTTCTTCGGTTTGTACGGCCACCGTCTTCATTTTCCCACGGGCTTCCACTTTTGGTGGGGTGACCAGGTTATTCCGTAGCGCACGGAGGGATAAACGGTCCTCGCACCGTACCGTGCTACCCGCTTTGTGGTAGCATACCAGTCGAAATGCTAGGTCCCGGTTGACACCATTGTACACCCGCAAAGTTGCCTCGTAGTGAAATGGGTAGTATGGCGTACGGAAACCGACAATAAAGGCGGTGTTGTCTAACATGTTGCGTGGNCTATGGCGTACGGAAACCGGCAATAAAGGCGGTGTTGTCTAACATGTTGCGTGGTACGCCTTTGGCCAGTGACGTCCTGAAGTCGCTGAAGCCGATTTGGTCAGGAGAACTGATACGTCATGCCACTGGGCGAACAGGACGCGAATTTGCCCGCCAGTCGCTTGTGACTCGAATGGCGGTGCACAGACATCGAGGATCGAGGACTTCCCTACCCCACGCAACCGACAAAAAACCGATTCGGCTGCCGACAAGTACGGGCCATCCGAGCCCTTGGGAATCACGGCCAAGGGGGGTTTTT